CAAAATAAATATCCAGAAATCAGTTCCATTCTTAAACACCAATAATTAACTAACATAAAGGGAAACTAAGAAAACAATCCCATTTAAAATTGTATCAAAAAACCCTAAAAATTAATTTAACCAAAGATGTAAAAGACCTGTATTCAGAAAATTTCTGAATTATAAGAAATATTATATTCAGTGTTATAAGACACTGAAGAAAAACAAACAAACAAGGCACAATGCAGAAGTATATATACCGTGTCCATAGAAAAGAAAAATTAACATCATTAAAATATCCATATTACCCAAAGCAATCTACAGATTCAGTGCAACTCCTATCAAAATACCAATGGTATATTTCACAGAACTAGCACAAGTATTCCAAAAATTTTTATGGAACCACAAGAGACCCTGAATAGTCATGGCAATCTTGAAAAAGAAGAGCAGATTTGGAAGAATCATGTTACCTGATATCAAACTATACTACAAGGCCACAGTACTCAAAACAGCATGTACTGGCATAAAAACAGACATATAGATCAATGGAAAAGAACAGAGAGCCCAGAAATAAACCCACACCTTTATGGTCAATTAACATTTGGCAAAGAAGGCAAGAACATACCATGGAGTATGGATAGTCTATTTAATAAATGGTGTTGGGCCTGGCTGGTGTAGCTCAGTGGATGGAGCTCGGGCTGCGAACCAAAGCATCACAGGTTCGATTCCCAGTCAGGGCACATGCCTGGGTTGCAGGCCACAGCCCCCAGCAACCGCACATTGATGTTTCTCTCTCTCTCTCTTTCTCCCTCCCTTCCCTCTCTGAAAATAAATAAATAAAATCTTTAAAAAAAAATAAATGGTGTTGGGGAAATTGGACAGATATGTGCAAAAAAAAAAATGAAACTAGACCATCTTCTTACACCATACACAAGAATAAATTTGAAATTAATTAAAGACTTAAATGTAAGACTAAAAACCATAAAAATCCTAGAAGAAATCATAGGCAGTAAAATCACAGACATTTCTCATAGGAACATTTTTTTTCTGATATACACATATCTCCTTGGGCAAGGGAAACAAAAATAATTAAACAAACATAATTACAACAAACTAAAAAAATTTTGCACCGCAAAGGAAACCATCAACAAAATGAAAAGACAACCTACTGAATGGGAGAACATATTCACCAATGATAGATACATCTGGTAAGGGGGGGTTAATATCCAAAATTTATAAAGAACTTATAAAACTCAATACCACAAAAGCAAACAGCCCAATTCAAAAATGGGCAAAGGGCCTGATAGACACTTCTCCAAAGAGGACATACAGATGGCCAATAGACTGTGAAAAGATGCTCAATGTCACTAATCATCAGAGAAATGCAAATTAAAACCACAATAAGATATCATCTCACACTTGTCAGAATGGCTACCATCAATAAATCAACAAACAACCAAGTGCTGGCAAGAATGTGGAGAAAAGGAAACCCTCATATACTGCTGGTGAGAATGGAGACTGGTACAGCCACTGTGGAAAGCAGTATGGAGATACCTCAAAAAATTAAAAATGGAACCATCATATGACCCAGTGATTCCATTTCTGGGAATATACCCAAACAAACCCAAAACACTAATTTGAAAGAATATATGCATCCCTACATTCATTGCAGCATTATTTACAATAGCCAAGTTTTGGAAGCAGCCCAAGTACCCATCAGTAGATAAGTGGATAAGTGGGTAAAAAAGCTGTGGTACATTTATACAATGGAATACTATACAGTCATTAAAAAGAATCTTAATCTCTCTCTCTCTCTCTCAAATCAATTTACCAAAAAAGTTTAAAAAGGAGATCTCACCCATTGGAACAGCATGGATGACCTAGAGAATATTATGCTAATGAAATAAGCCAGTCAAAGGAAGACAAATACAATATGATTTCACTTATACATGAAATCTAATTAACAAAATAAACTAACAAACAAAAGAGAAACAGATTCATCGATACAGCTGTCAGAGGGGAGAAGGCGTTGAGGGCTGGGTGAAAAAACGGTGAAGGGATTAAGCCAAAACAATAAAAACCAAAAAACTCATTGACACCAATAACACTATAATAGCATTAGCAAAGAAAAAGGGGTTGGGGGAGGGAGAAGAGAGTAAAAGGGAGATAAGTGGTGATGGAAGGAGACTTGACTTGGGGTGGTGAACACACAATACAATATAAGGGTGATATAGTATAAAATTGTACACCTGAAATCTATATAATTTTATTAACCAATGATACCCTGATAAATGCAATAAAAAAGAATAAGAGGGCTTTCTTTTGTGTATATCCCAGTGTCTACCCTAGTCCCTGTTATAAGCTGAATTGTGACCGCCAGGAAAGTATGTTGACATCTCAGCCCAAAGTACCTCAGAATGTGACATAATTTGGAAATTGGTTCTTTGCAGATGTAACCAGTTAAGATGAGGTCATACCTTAATGCAGTATGACTGGTGTCCTTATAAGAAAACAGCCATATGAAGACAGACACACAGGGAGTGCGTTATGGGAAGACTGAGTCAGATACTGAAATAACACATCTACAAGGCAATGGCTGCCAGTGTCACCAAGAAGCTAGGAGAAAGGCACACAACAGACTCTCCTTCAAAGCCTTCAGAAGTAACCAACACAGTTAGCACCCTGAATTCAGACCTCTATCTTCCAGAGCTTTGAGACAATACATTTCTGTTCTTTTGAGCCGCCCAGTCTGTGGTTCTTTGTTATAGCAGCCCCAGGAAACCGACACAGTACCAAATATGCAAAACTAGCTTCATAATACTGTTCACATTGAATTGAATTGCTGCTGCTTCAGAGAGAAAAAAGTAGGCACAACACATCCATTCTGGTTTTAAATTTTCTTTTAGAAATCTGTCAAGGTGTATTAAGAACAAAAATGACCATACTTGTTGACAAAGTAATTCCACTTCTGGAAAACTACTACAAAATACCAAACAAACCACAATTTGTTCAATGATATATCTGCAAAGATAAGTATTTCTGTAACTAAGGTTGTTTATAATTTGTTGCTAATATACCTGTCCAAATAGACAGGTATAATAGAAGACTAGTTAAGTAAATCACATTGTAATTACTGGAATATAACACAAACAACAGGGCTTCTGGAAATTATGTAAAATGAAAATGCTTACTATTTGTTATATGGAAAGACACAGAATATTAAAATTCTATATGGAGTGATGTAGGAAAACACGCATTTAAAGAAAAGGAGAGAGACAACAGTACAATTGAAAAAAATATTCATTGTGGTAGAGCTATGTTCGGTGGACTAGAAATCTCTTTTTGGCTCCCTAATCTCACCATGTTGGTACCTCCTTCCACTCTTTTTCTCTCCTCACACCTCCCCAAACAAAGCCAATTCTTTTTTGACAATGCCTCCCAGGATGGACCCAGACTCGTATCAATGTGTACTGAGGTTTCTTTGGGAAAAGATTCCGATCTGGCCTGTCTGCAGTCTTATCCCACTATCATATCTACTGCCAGAATAAAACAGTTACTCCACAGCCAAAAATATCTGATGTGGTAATCTCTTCATTTATGCTCTATGCATTTTTATGTATGTGTCATAATTTTCAATAAAAGGGGGTTATTTTTCAGTAATTTACTGTGATTTCATATCCTGTTTTGCTGAGATTAGGATTCATGCTTTTCTGCCAATATGGTCCTATTTCATTACACTTCTGAGTGTAATGTTTAGCCAGAAGGAGCTGGGTTCCCGTCACAGCAATGGAGTTGGCAGAGGCTGTTGTTCTTCTACAATGCCTGCCAGCTCCCCTATGTCTCCCAATGCAAACTCCTTAACATCCTGTAAATCCTAGCTTAAAAATTTCAGTTTTCCACCACCAGCAAACTCACCTGATATATGCAGTCTTAACTCATAGTGATCATATTCCGCAAGCATTTATCAAGCAACTACTAGTTGCAAGGCCTGAATGAAGATATGTACAATCTTTTTGCGAACACTGAATATTAATGAAAGAAGACAACCAACAGTAGAAAATGGCGTGTTAAGTGGATAAATGAGTGTTCACAGATGGGAAAGAAAGAGACTGGTGAAGGCTAGAAGGAAGAAACAAGGGAAAAGTTGAAGAGATCTCATGGCTGGGAGGTGGGTGATTGGAGATAGGACCACTGAGTTGAGCGCCTAGGTGACTAGGAAAATGGAGTGGGTCCTAGCCAGAAATGATGTCAACTAGAAATGCTTTGGGCAAAGCAGGGCCAATCCACATGGAATATTACTATATGCTCTGAGTGAGAGATGCTCCACTCAAACTGAGTAAGGCACACAGGAAGCACAGAACCTTAAGCCAGGTGAGTGGATGTGATAACAGAAGAAACAAAGTTCTATGAAATTTTGAAAAGGAGAATCCAAACTAGTACAAAATGACACAAGAAGAAAAAGAGGGACCTCAGAAAGACAGTCTAGTGGTGCTTGACACAGCCCAGTACTTCAGGAAAACAAGGACCAAGAAAGGATCTCTTGGGCAGTATGTGGTGGTTACCAGCCCCCTGCTGCACCACAGCCTCAGAGTTGGAATCTCCTCCTGCTAGTCCTGTGCCTTTGGGCAAGTTACTGTCTCAGTTTCTCCATCAGGAAAAAGAGGGTATATCATTTACCTCACAGAACTGTTTGGAGGATTAAGAGTTAATACAAGTTCTTAGAACAGTGCCCTGCACTTAAAGCACTCAATAAATATCTGCCGTTGCAGGGACAAGATTTTTTAGCACTCAAGTGACCTTGGGGGAAACAATTTCTAGCCAGTAGTAGGAGCAGAAACTACAAAGTAAGGGAATTAATAAGCAAGTGAGCAGTAAGAAGACGGAGGCAGCCGCAAAGTATCGATGACTTTCACAGCAGATGAGCAATGAAAGTAAGCAGTAAGAGTAACCTGCGAGCATAGGGTTAAGTGAAAATGCTTTCCGAGGGGGTATCTCAGGAAGAAGGAAAAGGCTTGGCTCACCAAAACTATTCTTCAGTCAGTGTGGAACTGGTTTCCCCAACCACACAGGTAGCTGGACGGGGTACAGACCGCACCGTTCCAGGGCCAGCTCTCCAGGGAGCTCGAAACAGTCGCCGCATCCGGCAAGTTGAATCAGCGCTGACTGATTATCGGGAGAGGCCCATTTCCTAATGAACGCTATCTCGAAAGATGAAACAAAAGGCTTTCCCATTTCCCTCTCCGGCCTGACCTGTTCCACGGCTCTGTACTCATCACCCCTCTCCTCGGCCACCAGCAGCCGCCGGGACAGGATGCAGCTCCAGGAGCTAAAGAGGCAGAGCCCCGCCGCACGAGCAGCGCCCCAGGTTCATTCCAGCGTCAAGGACACAAAAGCGCCCCAGAAGGGAAGGAAACAGGAAGAAAGGGGCACGGGATTTGGGGGTAGCTAGCGAGACTAGGTTCCGGGGCTGGGAAAGTGACCTCGATGGTCAAGGTCGTGCAGGTCCTTCTCTCTCCCGGTCCTACCAGCTAGCACCTTTGCCCTCCCGCCTGGAAAAGCAGGACCCACGCCGCGCAGGAGCGCTGGGGGGAGGCTCAAAGCCCTGCGACAGCCGGGGACCACGGTCCCTTTGGGACGCCGAGGGAGGCGGGGGGCTCCCAGAGAGCGCGCAGGTGAGCACGGCGGGCCCGCCCTCCAGCGGGGAAAGGGCCTTCTTCCTCGGCACCGCGGGCCGTGGTGCAGGAACTTTTAAAGCCCTCCTTCCCCCACGCAGAGCCCAAGGATGGCCCCGCCAGGCTCCCCGAATCTCCGGCATCCAGATCCCAATCTCCACGCGCTGCGCTCAAGTTCCTCCATCTGGCTGCTCCCGATTCCCTTCCCTCGGGTACTCTGTCTCTTCCCCCAACTCTTCTCCACATCCAGTAAAAGTTTGGCCCCAGCCCGCGGGCCCAGAGCCCCGCACTCACCCCGCGGGGACCGGAGCCCAAGCGCCCGGCGCGCACGAGAGCAGAAGGCGACGGCGCGAGCGCGGAGCTCCTCACCGCGGCCCTGGAAGCGCTGGCTGCCACCTAAGCTGAAAAGGGGGAGGAGGCCTACGGGGTGTCACCTGCCCACCCTCCCACTCCGCTGCGTGACGGCGCGCAGCACCGCCCCCGCTCGCCAGGTACCCGCGCGGGGCTGGGTGGGCGGAGCCGCGGAGGAACTGGGAGGGAGAGGTCGGGAGCCGCGCGCCCTGTGGGTGTGACCGCCTCCGCGGGGCTGCTGGTCGCTCAGAGTGGCCCAGGACGGGGCACTGCAGGCTGCTTTGGGGTGTCGGCTCTGGCCCAAGGGCTAATTACATTTTTTTCGGAGCACAGATGCCATCATCCGGGGTCATCTCGAGGCTTAACATAACGTGTGAAAATTGACGGCGGGCATGATTGAAGAATGAAACTACAGAAAAATCTGAAATGAAGAAAACCTGGCTGAGGATGAGGCTAGGGGAGGAGAGGGAGAAAGAAGGGCGACCATGGTTCTGAAAAGGCTATTCCGGGGATTAATTCTTTTGTGAAGTGGAGGCCAGACCCAACCAAGGGAGGAGGCCCAATTTCGATCGGCTTCATCCTCTGCTTATTAAGAGAACGCTGCAAATACTGGGGTGCGGAGGGCCTTTAGAGCAAATTGTATATAATCTAAGCACTACTTTCCTGGTTAGCAACAGTAGGAAACAAAGAAACAAAGTCTACCCAACTTTCTCCTCATCTGTTACTGTTGGATCGGGGAGTGGGAGGAGAATACTCCCCTATTTTTTTAAACTTACCTGGCCTGTTTCTGGTGACGGTCCTCTTAAATGCTGTTACGTTTTGGAATCGTGGCATCAATAGCTGGCAAAATGAAGGTCGGAAGAAGTTACCAACTTTAAAAGCAAAACCAAGAACTGCAACTGAATTATCTCCCAGAAACCTGAAAAACAACCTGAGAGGTTGCAGTCCTGACCCAAGCACCTCACAAACGTGGCCTGTGGGTTTGTGCTGTGAGCCCTAAACAGGGAATCGCGACGGAAGGCTCAAAATTACCAGGGAGGGTGGGTAGGGAGGGCACTCAGGACCAGAAGCGTGTTTTTCTCACAGGGTCTGCCTTCCACCACTGAATCCTGCTGCGATGAGCAAGAGGTTTTAAATGTTTTATGTAAATCTTTGAGAACCCACAGAGTAGCCATTAAAAGGAAAGCAAAAACCAGGTTAGACATTCAAGAGAATCTTGAAGTCAAAGATTCCTCCTTCCTTTTAGATAAATTTGGCTTTCATCATAGGAAACAGTTTGTTTAGTAGATTTGGGAAGTCCTTTGGGAATTGGTGACTATTGTTTAATGATACTTGCCTTTGAGTCTGTCAATACCTACCAATCTGTATGTATGTTCATGAAATTTCAAATATGCAGGTCAAATGGATTGATTCATTTAACAAATATTTATTGAATACTACTGTGTTCCAAGTCCTGAAGATTCAACAGACAATACAAAACACAAAAAAATCCTGTTCTCATGGAGTGTACATTCATTCTCTTGGGGATGACAGACCATAGATGAATAAACAATATGCAGTGTTCATGGTGTGGTAAGCGCTACAAAAAACAATAAAGGGATGGAGAGGGGGCCTTTGAAGGTGGGGAGCTGCAATGTTAACACGGTTAGGAAAGACCTCAATGGAAGGAGGCATCACGCCAAAATTTTATTTTATGTATTTATTTAACTCTACTTTCCTTATTTTGTTTTGAATTTTTTTATTGTTGTTCAAGTACAGTTGTCTCCATTTCCTCCCACCACCACTCCCTCCCACCCCAGCCAAAATTTTAAAGATGTGAGTTGGCAAGCCTGTGTCTATCCAGTTAACAGCATTGCAGTCCCTGAGAACAGCAAAGCTAAATAAAGGCCCTGGGGTATGTCTGGGACGTTCCTGCTCATACAACAGCAGGCAGGACAGAGTGGTTGAACTGGAGTGATTGAGGACCATAGTAACAAGTAAGGTCAAAGGGGTAAAGGAAGCATTTTGAGCAGTGACATCATCTGATTGAAATTTTACAGAGGAGGACCCTGGCAATTTTTTTGAGAATATGCTGGGGAAAGGATGGGAGGGAAAAGGGCAGCAGCATCGATAATTAGGAGGATCTTACAAAATCTGGATAAGAGATAAAAGTGGCTTGTCCCGTCTAGTAATTGGAAAGGTAATTAGGTTTTTAAAATATATTCTGAAGGTAGTATCAACAGGGTTTCCCAAGGATCTGATGTGGGCTGTGAGAAAGGAAACAAATAATGACTTCAGCTTGAGGCTGTTTGCCTCGAGCAATTGGAGAGTTGCCATGTACTAAAAGAAGAGATTGTGTTTGCCCACTCGAGAGGGTGGGTGTATGCATCCCTAAAAGTGGTCACACACTAAGCCTGTGCTACTCTCACAACCCTTTCCCCATGGGGGGTGTCCTCTTTGAGGATATTTTTGATGAGGAAGACGTTGACCCAGAGGACAAGAAGTTTGACTAAGTATCTTGATTTGTGAGAATGAATCTTTCAAGATGGACCTTATTTTAGATGTATACAATCAGAGCGCCCTGGAGACTTGGGTGACAAGTTCCAGTTGGTCACAGACAGACAGGATCTTGTGTGAAGACGGTAGCCTGGACCACGGTGAATAAAACCCCACAGATGATAGACCTTCCAGGGCTGACCAATTACAGTATGTCAAGTATGGGGAAGTGTACAGGGTTGAGGGGGATGAAATTTCTGTTGAAGCAGCAACACAGCTCTTTGCCTATGTGTCCCATGGGGGCCTGCTCATGAGGCTGCAGCATGATGCCAACCAACATCCTGCGTGAATTTGAAGTGGATTCCAGAGTTTCTCAGCTGAGGAAGAAACTGGCCTTCTGGACCACCTGGGAAGCCAACCTTGCTGCTCAGTCTCCCAGGTCATGGACATTTGTTTCCACCTGAGCAGCAGTTGCTGTTGTTCACCTCTTCAGGAGGGGCTGGCTTGCTGTCCACTGCGGGTGCATCTTTGGGTGGTCTGCACTCAATGGGAAATGGACTTGCCTGTGAAAGACCCAGTGAGAGCTTAAAATAAATCAGAAGTTGTTTTGTATTTTTTCAATTGAAGTTTACTTTTTCAAACTTTTCCTTCCCTCAAAAAAAAAAAGACTATAGAAAAGTTGGGAGGAGGATAATCAGGAATTGTTGGGGGACTGACTTAATTTGAGATCCCTCTTAGCTATTTTAGTGGGAATATCAAGTAGGCAGTTGGTTATACCACTCTGTAGGAGGTGGTGAGAGAAATTTGGGAGTAGTCAGCTTTCAGATAATATTTAAAAGTATGAGATGACAATGCTTAAGAGCGCAAAAGAGTGAGACAAGGGGTGTGAGAAATGAGTCCTGGGGAACTCCAGTATTAACTGGTTGAGGGAAATAAGGAGAGATCAGTAAGTAATCAGAAAGAAGTATCTAAGAAAGAACGGAAATGAGTTTGAAATAAAATCGTGAGAGTAACGTATCCTGGATGGCAAGTGGGTTAGTCAGCTATTGCCACAATAATGCTGCGTAACAAATCAACCATAACAAAAGCTCAGTAACTTAATAAAATACTCATTATGCCCACAAGTCAGCAGTTTAGTTGGAGTTCACCTGACCTAGGCTATGCTCAGCTGAGGGGTTCTGCTTTAGGTTACAGATTGAGCTTAAATCTGTTCCATGTGTGTTTATGACAGAGTCCAGACTGAAGAGAAAACAGCCACGTGAAAAAGATCTCCCCATAGTAGATAAATGGGGCACAAGAGCCAATTCAAAGCTCACAAACTTTTGGGGCCTCTGCTCCATCTCTGAAGCACATTTAAGGCCTCTGGTCACATTAAGTTGGTTAGCTATATCACACAGCCAAATCTAACATGAGGTGGGAGTAGGAAAGCATATTCAACCCACAGTGGAAGGGTGAGGAGAATGATTATTTGCTAAACAATAATCCAAACTTTTATCACAGCAAGGGAAGAAAGCTCTTTAAGGTGGAGGAAGTGATCCCCTGTGTCAAATGCTGTAAGCTGAGGACCAGAAACTGAGTGCTGATTAGCAATATGGAAGTCAATGGGGCTCAACAAGGGCAGGTTTGGAGAAACAAAAGGAATGAAAACCTGAATGGAGTGAGTTTCCAGAGTAAGTGGGAAGAAAGAAATTGGAGAAAACAAGGTCACACAATTCACCAAGGGTTC